ATTTATCTTTTATGTATACAAACACACCCATGTATATACATGTTCATAAATACATGGCATTGATATATATGTGTATAAGAAAACTAGCTTGCATACATGGCATTTCAGCACATGTCGATCAGCTGTGAGCACGCGTGTATGTATGCTGAACCGTATAACCCACATATAAATGATTGTATAAAGTGGGAGCTTCGATGACTATTCACTGAAGTATGTGGACTATATTCTTGAAAATCAAGCTTTGGGCATACCTGATAATCTGTAATCTCCCTGACTGTGCGTCTCTTGACATCGCCAACGTAGCCGTTATCCTCTTCCAAGTACTCTGGGAGATACAATTGAAGATCCTGATAATCGAACAGTTCGACATGTGGGTGCTCACCACCCGCTTGCTCGTCCAGCATACTGTCAAAGATATTTGGTCGTGATGAAGATGAAATTACCTTTAAACCGTGGTTGATGTTCAGTGGAAGTAGATATTTGTGTACGCGAATACACGTTTGCTAGCGCAGTAGTAGGTTTTAAAGCAATTACATTATCATTATATTTATGTACATATAAAGTCAAAAAAGTCACATTTATTTTTAGTGTGACTTCCTTATTATTGAAAGTGAGTCCCAAAATTCATTGGCCAAAGATAAGCCTAACCAATGACCAAAGTTCTGTACATGAATACCAATTACTTACTTTCTTTGTTTGTACTTTATTATGTCAAGAAAAATCGGAAAAAGTTGAAATTTGACAGATCTATGGCAAAACTTCATGTAAATAAGAACTGCAGGAAGTGTTTATAATATTACATATATAATACCGAATTCACACATCAAAGCAAAGTATAAGCTACATATACGTCCGTGCCAGTAAGTCCTGTTCGACAACGGATACATCTATATCTGCAACTCTTTATCACTGACTGAGGAGTATTGTCACGCCATGAATGAGTCCAGAAATGTATGTCAGTGCATCAATATCTATACTATAAGACTTTGCGAGCCATTTTACTGAACGTCTCGCATCTTTGAGATACGAGTCTGCTTGTGAAATACATTTAATTATATGTTTAGAGACATACGGAATATCTTAAAAACCACATATGTATTGTGTTTGCATCTCATATTTTATATATTCACAGTTTGATGTGTATGCAAATGCACGTGTAATATTTGTAGCTTCGTCGACAATATATATATATATATATATGTT